AGTCAGATCAACATTGTTCTTACCACTCAGGAGTCACAGCGCACTCAACTGAAAATTGCAGATCATTCAAGTTTATGGTGCAATAGATGATCAATGCCGGTTGGTTGAAATGCGAAGAGGATTCAAAGCGTCCAAACATAAACAATAATCCACTGCCGGCTCATGGGAAGTAGTAGGCGTACTACAAGCAATGCTCGATTCAAGGACGATGTTGATCCTATTATGTAAATAAACTTATCGAGCTAATTTCCTTAAACAACAGATGTATCACCTTTGCTTTCGTCATTATAAATAATAAGATTTCCACCTTTCGATCTCTTTGGAATGTTTTGTGACTATCATCAATCTTAATCTAGAAGTTTGAATCAATGGTTTTTCATTGCCCAAATGACAAATGTTATTCCAAATTCTTTAAATTTTATGGGAACCATCCAAACCTAGTTTTATTTCCATGTTATGCCATGAGATTGCCATGCTAAGCAAATTTTGAGCACCCCACTGGTGTTTGATCGATTATAAACACCCCATTGTGTTGAGTGTGTGACACTGCGCTAGAGTTAAGAGTATAAACACCCCATTGGGTGTACACAAATTGTGTGAGTGAATAGTCAAAAGGTGTAACGAGCATATGACATCAGGCTATTGGTAGAATCTCGTCACCATCATTGCCAACTTTTGCTAGCGAATTGGGATCCAAATACATATGAAGCCAACCAGGAAAAAATTCAAATAGCCAACAACATCAAAAGTCTTGCTTCTTCTAGAAAAGAGTAACCAACCAGCCAATCCAACGAGAATTTACACTTACATTGTGAATTACTAAACTTTTGATACTCCTGTCATAGGGGAGAATAAGGGAGGCATATTTTGTAGCATAACCAAGTTAAGTAAGTCCCGCGACAAACAAAAAAGGCAAGAAAATAAAAGCAAAGAAAAGAGAAAAATGAAAAATTGTTGTGCGACTTACATGTTAGAGGCCTTTCATTAGCACTCCATGTCACAACCATTCACTACGAATCAAGATATTTGCCGACCAATATCAACAGAAAACCTTAAGCAAAGAACTTATGTGATAAGATTTCCCATAGCCAAACTCGCATTCCAAAAGACCTCATTTAGTCACTATCCGACCCTACCTCCTAACGACAAAATCTCAAGACAAGGGGCATACGTAAAACGCATTCCCCAAGATGTCCAAAAGTCACCACTATTTTGGAGAAAGCTAGACTTCCTCGACAAAAGTCGTGGTAATAGCCATTAGGATTACACCATTCATCAGTTAATGTCATAATTCGGGGCAAGCCAAAATTCCTCCAAAAGAAACTTCACATGACCAAATAGACTTCACAAGAATCTCCTTATCCACCACTAATTTGACAAGAGATTATGACATTTTCTTAATCTCATCATCAAAGATCCCCATTATAGAAAACTATCACCTCAAGTATATTTGGCCATCAACATAAAAGAAGACATCTCTTGGTGACCAGAATCTTAATTGTAGCTGAAATGTCATAATTGAGCATGATGTTGAAAGTGAGAGTAGAGTGAGTGCTTATGGATTTTCTCTTGGCTTGACTTGCTCCCTTCTCAATTCTCATTACAAAATGCAAAAAATAAGCTTTAGCAACATGAAATAACTACACAAAGTTGTATCCAATTCTTCCACGCTTGTCTCAATCGAAAATTTCAACATCGTGCTCCTATGATACTTTGCATCCACATTTGTCATAATTTTTGCACTCATCATAAGTTAAGGTTAATAAAAGTCACTCATTATTCCATAGAATAGAAAGTGAACGCCAGATATTTGGGGGCAAGAACAGTGTAACCTCAAAGGAGAAACATTCTGAAATGCTCGCGAGCGAAATTACCCAACTTCTCAACTCATCAGTTTAGAAATCTCAAAGAATTGGAGAGAACCCTTGATTTCGGTCAACCAATCAATTATCCCTCCACGATAGAAGGATCACAATACAATACACCAACGAAAATTTAACAACATTGTATTGGACAACAAGAAGCCTGAGGGAATAACGACTAAGAGCTCTCACTATTAAGAACAACTGAGAAGCATCCCTACAAGAGAACAAGTTCTTGTGGGTGATCAATTTAAAGGAGCCCACGGCAAAAGAAAAAAAGCAAAAAAATGACATATTCTCGAACCAATTGATAATTCATCATTTTTTCATACAACATTCAGGAGTTTATCATTCATTAGCATGACTCATCACACAATCATTTTCAAAATCATTTTGATACCCGTTAGACAACATCACCATATCAACAATCATACTCATTAAGATTCATTCCCAAATGCATTTTGATATTCATCAAGATTTCAAACAATTATGTTTCCGACTTCATAAAAGTCTGACATTAGCTTTTCACTTACAATCAGAACTTGTTTTAATTTCACTTTAGACATGCCCTCAACAAATCCATAAACAAACTAAATTGGTGCTGGTGAGCGCCTAAAAAATACGACACTGACGTTGGTGAGCGTTCAAAAAGTACACTGGTGATGGCGAGCACCTGAAAAATACGACACTGACGCTGGTGAGTGTTCGAAAAGTACACTGGTGCTGGCGAGCGCTTGAAAAATTCGATACCAACGCTGGTGAGCATTCTAAAAGTACACTGGTCCTGGAGAGCGCCTGAAAAATACTACATCGATGCTAATAAGCATAAAACAATTAACCATCAAAATAAATTCATCAATTAGTGTTCATGTGCGCTTTGTTTACGTCATCATCAGGAAAAAGAAACAAGTTTATTTACGGCACCATCAAGAAAAATGAAACAATTGGAGATGACGAACGCCAAAAAAATACGTCACAAACCAAATATAATCCTTATACAAGGGGGGCAACTGTAGACACCCCATTTTGTCTGGGTAAATTATCCAACTAAAAATTCTAAACTTAAACCGTGAAATGTCGTAAGTTGTAAGATTGGCCATTGCGAATCTAAAATATCGACGATCGTACAATTTATTTGAATTCGATTATAGTTTATAAAAAAGGTGGGCTTTAGTTTGATCAGATGTTGCTGTAGTTGCAAAATCTTCCAATCTCGGCTTTTTGCACAACACAAAACATACAGAGGGAGAAAAAAGTTTTATTTAAATTATCAATAAATTATACAATTACAATCAGAATACAAATTATTAATCACAATTATTACAAGAAAATCACAATCAAATACAAGTTTCATCCATCTCCTTTGAAGCCAGCAACAGACCTGCCAAAAAAAAAAAAAAAGAGGAGCCTAGTTAGTTCAGGCCCACATCAAAGACAAGCCCAAAAGATCAGAGTCCATCCGAGGCCCACAGTTCGAGTCAAGGCAAACCCATAAATGAAGGCTGAAAGATGCTCAATCAAGCCCAAACGAAGCCCAAGCTGAAATAACACTTTAGACCAGTTCAAAGAGCTTTATGGCCCATACAAGAACCGACCAACAATCAGAATCAGACCGGTTTGACCTAGAACCGACCAACAATCATATCAGAGTCCATACAAGAACCGACCAACAAGCAGCTAGCAGGCTATAAAAGAGCTCTTTGCCTTCTGTTATGGGGACAAAATTTGGGGTGGGGGAAGAAAAGAAAACGCTACAGAAATACAAATTTGACAGGCAAAAAGACTTTAGGGGTCTTTTCTTTTTTCTTTCTGGAGATGCTAACTTCAGTTTGGAGATCTAGGAGATAGGAGCATAAAGGAGGCATTCTTAAAGCCACAAATTCCAACAAGGTTAGTGTTTGTAATCTCAACCTTCTTTTTATTAATAAGAGCTCATGTATTCGACTTTATTATCAATCACATGTACAGTTCTTGTTGGTTTATCTCTATCAGCTTTATTTACTTCATGAGTTGCTTCACATTCAAGCCATCGGTTCAGTTTCTTTTTAAGCAATATACTATTACTGCAATCTATATATATATCCGATTCCTTTCAATTGAAAGCCGTTTATGTAACATTTTCTTTAGTTACTATTACTAGCCTAATTTTTTGGTAAGCATCGTTTTAAACTTTAGTCAAGTCTCAATCTCTTTTTAAGCATATATATAACTTAAACCAACATATAGCTTTCAAACAGAAACAGAAACAAATATGATTTTCATTTGAAAACCAAATCCAACAAAAATCAACATATCGCAATAAATTTCAGATTTTTACAAACCCATAACTATTTTTGAAAATCAACCCTAGTCTAATTAAATCACAAGCAGTAGCAGTGATTTATCCATAGTATGGCAAGATCAGATTTATAATTGTCAAAATTAGCAATTTTAGAGCATCTTAATTACTTTCTCATTACAGAAAATTCCTTTTTTCGCAAATTCTAGCATATAGATAGTTACATCTAAAACCATCACCAAACCATCAAGCATAAAAAATTTGAGATCATCAAACACATGCACAACATATCTACAAACCAAAGATCTGTAAACTAAATCTCAACCACAACAGAATCCTTTTTCTTTTTCTTAGTTTAACCACCCCAATCATACTAAGCTAAGTTTAGAAATCTTACCCAGATCTCTCAAATTCAAAAATTTCCACAGAGCAAAGGTAGAGGTCAGAATCGATTAAAGCGATACCAATTAAGAGAATAAATAAGATTAACCGAAACAAAACCTCACCCGCCATTGTCGTTGTCAAACCATCGCCGACAGAGCCTTGCCGGCGGATATCCTGCTCACCTCCTCCTCCCACCTTCTCCCCTCAACAACCAGAACATCAAAACCAAACAAAAAACCCAAATTAGAATCCCTCTTACCAGAATTAAAGATCAGAAATGAATAAATCCTAGTCAAATTAACAAGAACCATCTAACCTAGGAAAATCAAAGCAAATAGAGAAAGAACTCCCCGAGACCAAATCGGCGCCGCCCTCTCCTCCCCCGAACAAGTCCCCAGATACCGAAACCAAAAACCAAAATAAAATATCAGAATCCTAATTTTGAACCTAAAATCGAAAAAAAAAAACCACATGCAAGCCAATCCCTACCTAGATCGAAGCCTTTCTAGTACATTCAGGGTTGTTGGCTTATGTTCTGTGGCCGGCAAGGAGAGGGGAGTAACAGATTGAGAAGCCCTTTGATTTTGGGTCGGCTTCTCCGGAAATAAATCAAGAAAATAAGGATTAGAATCTCAAAACCCTAAAATCAAATCTGAAAATAGTAGAAATCGAACATGCAAGAACCCTAATCCGCCACTTACCATCGATTTGGAGGCTGGCCGATGCTCCAATGGCGTATTTTAGGCTGGGATCTTGTCTGATTCCAAGGTGAAACGATAGATGGGAATGATTTTCCCCTTTTGTTTCTCGGAAAGAAAAGTGCAACCACCTACTAATGAGTAGTGGCTAAGTGCAACCACCTACTAATGCGTAGTATAGCGGGTTTAGTCTTAATTGTCAACCTGGGTCCTAGATGTGATGACTACTCTGTGAATTCTCGTTATCTAGCGGTTTAAATGTAGTGAGATTATGACTAGTCTAAATTAAGACAAAGTAGTAAAAGTTGTAGTTCAAGTTTGAGAAGGCTCACTCAGGTATGAGTCCCCCTAGATTGCAGTTAAGCGAAATTGTGATTCACCTAAATCAAGTTGATTGATGTTTAAACTGCGGAAAGTTCTTATTAGTCTGAAGTCTCGACTAAAGTGCTTCAGGCCCTCTAAGCTAGAATACCCGACGAGCGACTAACCTCCACCGGAGTAAGCTAGCTGAGGCAATCAGATTACAACTTCCTCCACTGGTTTCTAAACCAGTACAGAGCAGGAATTGACTTCCCGACTAAGGTCGCCAATTCACTACTTTCAATTCAAGGTGCTCTATTGACCTGTGCAAAGATTATTCTTCTAGGTCAAAGCAGGAATCACTAGAATGTGATCAGGACTCAAGTAATTCAGAGAAATTACTTCAATTGGATTTAAATCAATGAATCATTCAGGGCAAGGGGTTCATACAACTCAACCTAACATACAATCTAGGTTTCTTACATACCCAAGTGATAGAGGGGGGATTACTCCATAGAGAGAGGGTGGAAAGCTAAGCTTGATGTGGAAATCATCGTGTTGAAGGGAGAAATCGACACTGTGTCATCAATCGTCTTTCCTTGAGGCTTTAATCGAGCTCCAATGGTGTACAACTTGATCTAGGGCGCTCAAGGATCTCTCTTCGTCACTTTTTCTCTTTAACCTCTGTTTTTCTTGCTCTAGAACTTGAATACCTTTCAAAATCCCCAAATTCGTAGCTAAGGGCTGCAGCTCGCAATACCCGACCCAAATACCCAGTCTGGTATTTATAGGACCGGGCGGGTATTATAAAATGGAGCACGCAAGCAAAGGGGAAAATACCCGACCTAGGGTTAAAATACCCAGTCGGGTATTTTGGGTTCCTGACCGGGCCTCCTTCTATTTCTTTGGCTCTCTCAGTCGAATACCTACTCCCTCAGCAGATTATACCCGGTCAGGTATTTGAGTGTTCTTATCGGGTAGTTTGGCCTCCAGCTCCTCTAGGCGCCAACTCTCCATTTTCGACTCAAAACTCGCTTCCAAGCCTCCATTTCCACACCAATTCCTGAAATATGACATAAACGCACAACCTGGCGTGAAATCGACTTTAAACACGAGAATCAACTCTCAAACGGTTCAATAATGGTGGCCAAAACATTTGCATATAACGGTCTATAAAATTCCCCCACACTTAACTGTTTGCTTGTCCCCAAGCAAACCTGACTCAAACCAATGCAACTCTCCCGACCTCTACAACACCATGCGACCCCTATTGTCGATAGAAGACTTCCTAGATCATTTAGAGACTTATGAGGTCAACCGGTTTTCTAAGACATCCCATATTTCCCTCAAAGCGAGTACTAGACTCACACCAGGATCATGTGAAGCAGTGGACCTAGGACAGACAATTCATGGACAAAGAGATTCACTCACATAACACAAGAACCAAGGACTCTCCGTATTGGGTGCTCTTTCATTACATTTCACTTGTTGGAACCTCTTTTACTTATTGTTTATTTGTTTCTTTTTCTTTTTTTCCACATTTGCACTTTGCTGGGGTTCCAACTGCAGTTTTATGCGAGGTCGACAATTTTTGTACATCTGTTGCTCTCCAGAGTACTTCTTTTAAATCCTTTTCTTCACTTCGTGTGGAGGGTCAATGAAATTAAGAGCGGTCGGAAGCTCTATTCGTGCCCTTAAAAACATCGTTCAACGAGTGGAATTTTTACTTGTACTAGAGACGGCTTAGCTTCACCTTGTAGGCCTACCCCACTAAGGATCACTAAAATCTCTTCCAAAACCCGATTTTGTGCAATGAACGATGCCACACACGTTGGGCTTAACCCATGTTTAAGATTTCAAATTTTCTGACATTGAGGACCATACACAGCAAGAGAGAGTCATCGATATCACATGAATCAAATGTCCTATTTCCACTAGTTCACACAATCAACCGACACAGCAAAAAGAAAGATAGGAAAGATCTTATACTTCAGCATCTTCCATAGCGCTACACTATCTCCCTAGATTGCATAGAACTATAGAGACTGTTAATTCAAAGCATACTGAGCATGTCATTGAAAGGAACACGTACTTAGAGCCCTCAAATCAAAATTTGGACAGTGGACTAGGATCCAAGCACACAATAGCTAGACATTCAAATAGAAACATCCCCCCCCCACTTAGGTTCGACAGTGCCCTCAATGGAGAAGAGGGAGAGATAAGGGGAACGATGTTACTGGGAAGAACAGACCGCAGCAGGACTGGGAAGTGGACCACTCGGAGAGAGGAGGACTGGAAATAGGACCAGTCGAATCAAGATCACGGGCTGGATAAAAAATAATCACTCAAACACAAAGGCATTAAGGAAAGTTGTCATCCCAATAGTACATCATCCAAAAGAAAAACACAAAACACAAAAATCCAGTTTGCACTCCGTCCCAAAATAAATCAAAACACACGACAAACATAGAGAAATGCCTACGAGTACAGTCTACTCAAGATGGTCGAAGTTAATATGGTCCATGAAGTCGCCAAAGTCCCCCGACGGTGGTGGTGGTTGTGGTGGTGAGTGCTACCACGGATTGGTCCAGTGGTGCTCCTGTGGCGGATGACCGGACTAAAGCAGGTGCTCCTGTTACTCCATCATCCGACGGTTGCGGCCTTGCTCCCGCTCGATGTGAGCAAGGGTGACACCCTACTGAGACTCGAGACGGTCGAGGCGCTCGTCGAACGCAGCGAACCTGGTGGCGTACTCAGCCTAGTGGGTTGAATACTGCTGCTGCAACTAGCATTGGTGGTCTAGGAGCAGGTGGTTCTGGAGTCCAAGCTGCTGGAAATGGAGCCCCATTTGGTGGAACTGCTTAGTGAAGAACTCCATCGATGGACCAGAAGGACCGGAGGAGGACTCACCTCGCTCGAGTCTTCGTCATGGAGGAAGGTCCCCTAGCAGGGAAGTGGGGGCTCCGGCTCATCTGCATCCATATCCCCACCATCATCATCATCGTCATCCTTGTCTTCCTCCTCCTCCCCAGCATAGTCATCATCATCTACATCGTCCTCGTCCGCAGCGGGAGGCATGGACAGACCGTCGACCCACTCCCCCGCTTCAGCAGTGTCTAACAAGAAAGCGTTGTGAAGAACATCCCTGTTGAGGGGAAGGGAGCCACCGTGCTCCGTGGCATCGGTCAACCCCTCAAAGCTGATATCGAAGTGGCGCACAGGGCTGGTGATCAGGGGACCACAAAAAAAGTGGGTGGGTTTCTCGTGGCACCTGGCAAAAGTGGTCGACATGAGAGACTCCAAGTGTAGCATGTGGTCGGGATCCCCCCCATGGAGTACATGACGAAGATCACGCGCTTCGGTGTCTTGTGTGATCTGGTGGTGTTGGGGATGACCGAACGGGTGAGCAGGAGGTTGATGATGTGCCACTCGGTTCGGATGGTGGTAACAGTCGTCTGGCTTGAAACGAACCAGCCATGGTTGTACTCAGGACGGGCGATGCGGAGTTAGAAAGCATCTTGGTTAAATTCGGTGGGATGGGGACCCTCATTCTAGTGTTTGGAGTAAAGATGGTAATGAATCTCCAAGGCCTGAGCCAACCCGTCGATGCTCATCTGCCTCATGCTACCAACAAGTCGGAAAGTGAGGCATGTCATGAAGTCGCGAGGTGCCTTGGGCCGATAATTGAACGTGGAGTAGAACTCCCAGACCAACTCCGTGTAGGTAGAGTCCTTGGTGGTCAAGAGAATGCACCAATGAGGATGGCAGCAGCCATCTCATCGAGGTATTGGAGTCTGTAGAAGACCCCAAACTCGAGGTGATGGTAGCGGTGAAACACCCTGTTGATGACCTTGGCGAACTGCTCAGCAAAATCGACGTGAAGGCGCAGGTCCTGCACGTACGGGTGATCAAGAGACATGATCCTGCAATATAACCAAACCAAAGGTGGAACCAAGATAAAATCTCGTTAGGACCGCAAGCAGGGGCTATCCAGTTCCCCCATACATAAGGATCACGAAGACAAGCATTCTAGCAAAAAATAGCTGGTTCGTAGTAAGAACAGGACCTACCAAACATATGTCAAGCAGGGATCATGGCAAACTAAGGTATACCAGACGACCTAACTTCACCATATATGCACAAACTGACTCGAACAGACCAAAAATCAAAGGGAAAAAGGGAAAAAGTAATACAAACTGTGGTGGGGTTGCCTCCCCACAAGAGCTTTCTTTTAAGTCTTTAGCTAGACGCAGCCAGCAGAACTAAGTGTCCGCGAGTGCGACCACCACTCCGCACATTCGACCTCGTCTCCTAGATGTAGCTTGAGACGATGGTCATTCACTTTAAATGGCTTAGTCTGCGGGTTGGCAATCTCGTTAGTGCCATACGGGAACACCTGCATGATCGTGAACGGTCCAGACCACCGGGAGCGGAGCTTTCTAGGAAAGAGTTTCAGGCGAGAGTTATAGAGAAGAACTCGATTACCAACCTAAAAATCCTTCAGGCACCTCAATCGAGCGTCGTGAAGATTCTTCATTCGCTCCTTGTACAACTTGGTGTTCTCATAGGCGTGATAACGCCATTCCTCCAACTCTGGCATCTGCATCTTGCGTTCAGCACCTGCAAGACTCACATCCAAGTTTAACAACTTAAGTGCCCAGAAGGCGTTGTGCTCTAGCTTGACAGACAAGTGACGTGCATTTCCATAGACATGCCGATACGACGAAGTATCGATCGGCGTCTTGTAGGCATTCCGATATGCCCATAGAGCATCATCGAGCTTGGTGGATCAATCCTTGCGAGACTGATCCACCGTTTT